ATTTAATTATAATCTTGCATTTATTTTAGTTAAGTTAGATACTGCATTCATGCGTAATTTAAGTGGGTACAATCTAGTTATAGAAAAATCATAAATTTCTATTGTTTCGGTTAAGACTAAGTTAATTTGAATTTGAACTAATACAGTCTTAGTGGGAACGATACTTGGACTCGAATTCTATTTACTACTTGTTAATGAACCGTACACTTGCGGTATTTTAAATGAAGAATATTTCCTTGACAGACATAAACATTTTATGCAAAATGTGTTTAATTAACCGAAATATTAATACAAAATAACAAGAAATCAGGACACAGAAATATGAGTTAGATATTGGGATGTGGCATAAAGGGACTGAGTTTCTTTAGCACAACATGTTCAGTTATCTTTATTAGTGAACAACATAGACAAGAGCAAGGTTTCGTTGCATCCTATTGGGGTAAAACAAAAAAACATAGTAATATGACTTGCGCCTAAATTGTTTTTTACATGTCGTAACACGTTTCTTCAACACTATTTTTCAAGAGATAACGTATGCAATAAAATGAGTTGAATATTACTGTGTTGAAAAACATCAAAGACTTTGAGACATCACATATTATGAAAAGAAATCCCTAAAACACTTGATCAAGCATAGGTAAGGCAAAACAAATTCTTGAGGCTTGATGGTAAATCCGTTTGATCTAGCAAATTCCAATCTTTTCAAATCTTTGCCATTTCTTGTATGTTCCTCGGATAAGAGTTGGAAAAGCTACTGTTATATGCCCATTCAGCGAAAATTTTATTCGCAGCTTGTGTTGGATGAGCATAATCCCAAAACAGGTATTGGTTTCTATTGGCACATGGAAAGTGTGATGCTTCGAAGACATAGTAGTCCAAAATTTTTAGGTCCAAAGCGACAACAACCTTTGACCGTTACCAGTAACCCTATAAGAAGATGACGTAACAAACTTTAGCATTTTTCAATGTCAACATATGATACTATGTACAAAACTGATACAATAAAGTTATTCTTACCATAAGCAGATGGACTGTCACGCAACTCAAAAAACCATCTGTAAGCAGGGCCATAAACGAACTGAGAATCTTGGAAATCTGAATTTAGGCGAGCAACAAGATACTTAAGTCGTGAGTTAAACATTTTCACAATGTTATTAGTAATTGATATACACTGTCCTGGTAGCGCATGGCTAGTGATCAGTTGAAAAGGCGTACATCCATATGGTGGAATGTCCACTAAAAAGAACTTCATTACACCAAAGTTGTGGAGTTCCTACAAACCAGTAATATTAATTTCATGGGGCCGCAGCTGTCCAGTATCTGTANCTTTAAACCCAAGTTGTGGAGTTCCTACAAACCAGTAATATTAATTTCATGGGGCCGCAGCTGTCCAGTATCTGTAATCCTTGAGCAGGCAGAGATTGCACTGTTTAATCACTGCATGTAATTAATGAAAAACTAGAAGACTGCTCAATTGGCCATCCCCAATGTTGTACAGACAGGTACACAGGCATGTCGACACATGATTTTTGAGAAAAGTATGACACAGATACTTTGGTTTAAATTTTATAATAAAACATTTATATACATGTCTTTATTTTCTACTTTATAGCACAGGACACATCACATAGCATATTGAATACTTGTCCAAGGATTGTCTCCGAAGTATCCCTTGAGCATTAGAAATATAAAGGATATATATATACAGAAATGATCTAATGAGCACCGGTGCTCATCTTATCCTAAGCACCAATGAGTTGGCACATTAATTCATTGGTGGATTGGAACTCACAAAATCTTTATCCACCAATGAATTAATGTGCCAACTCATCGGTGCTTAGGATAAGATGAGCACCGGTGCTCATTAGATCATTTCTGTATATATATAT